AGGGCGGGGAAGGGATGGGCTCCCAGAGAGGACGGAAGGTATTAATCTCCACCGAGGCACTGCAGCGGCCAGCGGTAGCGGAACTTGCTTTGCAGGGTTTTGCAGGAGGCAGTGGCGTTCCCCACAGTGCACCCTGCAAAGGCAGAGACGATGCCAACGTGGGCTACGGGCGTTCTAGCGAGCACCCCCTGCAGCCCTGACACTCCGGCCAAGGAGCCGACTACCCTGCGCAGCAGCTTGGCAGGTCCCAGGCCAGAGCTCTCCGAGTAGCAGGGGAAGCAGCAGACACATGTGACCACCCTATACCTGGGCTCAGCTCCTTAGTGCCCCCCACTCGCAAAGTGGTGAGTGCGGACTCTCCCCCCTCTGTGCGAGCAGCGTGTCCCTCTTAGGCACCTGATCTCAGTGGAAACCGCTCCCTGGCTGGCTGACAGGATTCACACCCGTGTCATATGCAATTTGTGCTCATCCCTACCATGTGATGGGGCTGCGATCAGCTGGGCTGGGGCACGCTCTCAGCAGACTCCCCTTGACAGAAGGAAGGGAAGGAGCTGGAGTCAAGCTCCCCTAGCAGGGAAGAGTTAACGAGACACACGAAGAGGACAGGAAGAAAACTGCTGGAGATGCCAGAAGAGCTGCCAAGGGAAACACATGGATAAATATGAATATAGAGGGAGCCTGGCAGGGATCTTCACAGACCCGGTTCCTGGCGCCACACAAGCAAGGCTCGGACACTTGAAATCAAAGCGCCAGAACAAGAGCGAAAGCGAAAGCTGGAGGGATCAGCCCCAGCCCAGGTAGCGAGATGGCGAAAGGGCCGCTTTTGCTGATTCAGCTCGTTTTCCACACCGCGTCCCTACAGCCCCGCCTGGATCAAAGTGGCAAGGAACATTCTACAGCTCATTCAGCAGCTGCCGCCCGTTTATTACGATAAGTTGATGGGTAATTACAGGGGTCGCACGCGGAACCAAGAGCAGCATCCACTGCTCGAAATACCAGCGCACATGGAGAGAAGATTGGAGCCATCAGCTCATTAGCACAGCAGGACAGGGCTCCTCTCCTCCCTGGGCCTCTGGCTGCACTGTATGCCCATGCTGCCGAAGAGCTATCTACCAAACACAAGGGGCCCAAGGTTTCCACCGGTCAGCGCACGACCCCTTGCTGAAGGATTAACGAGAACAGCTGAGTTAGTTATGCTGGTGGCAGGGTGGAGGGGTGTTTGTGGAGACACCTGCCGAACTCAGAAAAGAACCTGCCACAAGGTGAAGTGGTGAAGTCAAGGCCACTTTCTAACCACAGGACAGTCTCAAAGCCTCCCCATTTAGCCAGATTCCTCCACTTCCAGTGGTTGAGTCTGTACTTCTATCTTCTTTGGGGGAATGTAGGAGCCCATGCCAGCTGCTCTCTCTGCTTCCTCCTGGGTGTAAGGCTCCTCACTCAGCTGCTTCAGCCTAAAAGAAGAGGAAGAAACCCAAGAGAAGCACATGGGCTGTGATCTGTGATGGTCTCCCCGCGAGCTGAGCGCTTAGAACCATCCCAAACCCGTTAACGCCACACATGACATTGCTGGAGTTCACCCAAACTAAACCTCAGGTGCTCAAATTTCACAGCAGGATTGAAAAACAGCAGCGGTAAAGTTATCACTGGGGCACCACCGGTTCTGTGACTAAACCAGGGGTGGGCACACACTGGGGTGCAGAAGTTCTATGAAGAGTAGGGAAGGCTGGGGGAAGACTGTATCTCCCCAAATAGCCAGGTGTAGCCCAGCCCCCAGTCCAAATCCCACCCCAGAACTGGGAGTTGGGCTGGCTCCTCCCGACAAGGCCATTCCAACCCGGCTCCCCCATGGGAGCTTAGGGCCAGACTGAAGGGTTGGGCTGGCTGGGGGG